ATACCAAAGGTGTCATGGACACTGTTGATATTTGATTACACAACCATTTGCTTGAAAACTTACGAATATCTCTTTTACTCACGGATTTGAGCCGGACTTGAAAAAGTAAAAACACACAAAAAGAAGACACATAAAGCTTTTGTTAATTTCTGTATGATTTAAGTAGAGCCGGCCCAATATAATATTGTGCCAAACAAGAAGAATTTTTCTGCTTACAAACACGATTAAAATAGAATTAAAAACATCACAAAACATTGTGCTCGGTAATTAAAACCTTCCAAAACATCCACGACCACTATGCAAGAAGACAAATTTTTTTAAAAGAAATTGATGCTCCTTAAAATGATAAACTATTGTGATATATAAAGTCCTAGTTTCATGGGTCAGGGCTGACCATGGATCAACAGATCATATCATAGCACTGTAAACATCATTTTAAATATAATACAATTTAACAAATAGACACACGATTTAACAAGTTCCTACGTCTTGGCGGGATCCAGCGATCCATGACGAATCCACTATCAGCCGGCAAAACCCATTGGAATAAAAAACCGTAGAGATATAGAGAGTAACCTTAGAAGGAAGCTGCATAAGCGACTATTTGACTCTCGTCACTTTCTTACACATCTCTTCTCAGTCCCCTCACTCACTTATTATAACTATCACCTTATCTTTTATCACAAACCAAAAAGATAACCCCAACCCCGACCCCAACCCATGGTAGAATTGAATCCTAACTGGTAAACTTAGCCCAAAAGACATGCTTACTAGCAAGAAGTCTAGAACAAAGCCCAATTCTAACTAACAAGTCTTGATACACAAGTACCAATTTTTTTTTATTTCTAGTACTACTTTGTGAAAATTGTAGATTCACATTCTTTTTAAATGGTATAATGAGTATTTTTTTCGTTTTTGATACCAACTACGTATTTGGCATCTAAGTTTATGTTATATTTGTTTTTTTTTTAAATGATGTTTAAAGTTTTGGTACACGTACTAAAAAATTGATTATTTTATTTGTTTTTCAAAATTAAAACATCATTTATTATCAATTTTAAAATAATCCAACCAATACTAAACTAATATAATAGAATTTAAACAGTGAAAGTAAAAACAGCAATTAATTTTATATAAAACTTGTAAACATCACTTAAAGTAAAACAAAAACACATATATCTCTAAAACTTCATCAAAAGTGAAACGGAAAGAATATTTTAATATATAGCATTTTTTTTTTCCTATGAACCTTTTCACGATATATAACATGTAAAATCTGTATTGACTGGTAACCTTCCACCATTGCAGTATGCCAGTACAATATATATTATGTTTATAGTTATCAATTACAAAAATAGTTCTAAAAATGTTAGACTCAAATTTTTATTCCCATTTTGTTTATCGTTACTTCTTATATATTTGCATTATTTTATGACTGCCACAAACAACCAAAAAAATTATTAGAATGATTAATTGTGTTTTATCACTTTACATCGTATATAAGGATAAACGTTCATGAACTTGCTCAAAAAAAAAAAAAAAGGATAAACGTTGTTTTTTTTTTTAACCAACAGAGGTGTAAGAACCGTATTCTGACTGTCTTCTAAATTACAGATTAGTATGTCTTGAATCTTTGTTACGTAGTTACACTAACCGGCCTAACTATTAAATGAAGACTGAAAAGGACGGGGTCAAACTACATAGGAGTACTAATATTGAAAAATCCGTTACAGAATATGGATCTTATTTAGTCACGTAAAGAGTTGTTCTTGGGTTTGACCACACAATTGTTGATTCCTAAATGCGGAAAGTTAAGGAGGATTATGAAAATTACAGTTATCA